GAGGTCTTGGGTGTGGATCTATCCCCGTCTCATGTCGATCAAGGACCGCATACCGTTGTTGGAACTTCGACAAGATTGAACGCATGCCTCTCACTTAGCTGGCGGATGATTCGTTCCGACCATGGGCCGAGTAATTCAACTCGGGCCGGGAATCGTTTCACAGCGCTCCTTCCGGGAACGATCGATCGAGCCCAAGGGCGGCTTGGCTCGAGCATCCCGGCATCTGGTGTTCCAGATCGTGCGGCGCAAAGACGGACCATGAAATGTGTACCGGAGTTGTACCAAAGGTGACCTAAGGCTATCATGGTTTGGTAGACTGGGTTTGTGTTAGGAATAAATTTTCAACTGGTTGAAATCGATTAGAATCGCCGTCTCTCCCGGATAGTGAGAAACTTGGCTAGCTCCAACATCGTAGTAAGCGTGTTATGGAACATGATGGTTCGGATGAAAATGGGATTACAATACCTGCTATGGTTACTATTGTATGCTTCTAAAGGATATACCACATGTTTGGCACAGGATAGTTGCTAATCTAGAAATGGATAGTGATAATTAACTTGGTAAAGGAATCATAATTGTACAACGGATCAGTTGCCTTTTTCGCAAAATGTTGTCAAGTTACGTCCACTTATACAGCCTTGCATAATCCTTGGAGTCATTTTATTTCTGGTTCATGACGGGTAAGTCTAGCTGAGTACCTTCTCGTACTTAGGGTTTATTTTCCCATTGTTGCAGATGGCACTGTGTATCATGGTTATTGCAAGAGTTGCTTCTATCCCGCTGTGGATGAGGAGTAAGCCTTGGGCAGGCTTCTTTAGTAATTCCTATCCTTGCTTTTGTGGACCATGATCTAGCTTGGCACTGTATCAAACTATGTTGGAAACTTTATCTTCGAACTTATTTGCTTCCGCTTTATTTATCAAACTCGGTTTGTAATAACTTTTATTCGTACTCTGATGATGAAAAGTATCTGTGAACTTTATGTAAATATGTGGCATGTATGTTGAATCCTGTACGATCTTGGTTGTTGTAAATCGTTTATCGAGACCCGTCGTGGTACTCGACGGACTACCGGGTTTATATGGGTTCAAGTATGATAGTGCGACCGCGTGCGGATTGCCATTGTACTTGTATTCTTATAAATTGGTCGGTTCTGCGACAGTTCCTGTCTAGCATGATGTATGGGTGATTGTAGGAAGTCGTGACAACTCATACTCGTACCTAACTTCATACCATACCTGCAAGAGAGGAATATAGTATATGGAATTAAGATATATAGTTCTTGAAACTTGATGGATTAGAGTGATAAAGAGGTAGGAATCTTGTGATCCAAAATGGAGAGCTTGCTTGCTAAACCAAGGGTGGATTAGTATTGTCCTAAGAGAGGTTTAGATATGGGGTAGGGTGGTTAGGTTGATACGTTAAGGTTTTTCAGCACATAAATTTGAAGTGTTCTATCGAACAGTCAGGGTGTTCTCTAGAACAATCCGCGGTGCATTCCCAAAGAGGGGTCTTCTGGTTTTGGGTCTAGGTGTTCCCGTAGAGTGTAGACAGTCTAATTGTTCTGCAGAATAGTCCATGAGTGCAGTAGATGGTTCATGTGAGCAAGGGAAATAGTTCGGGGGTGCATGCCGAGTAGCTGATGTGGCTCTATGTGATTCCTCGACGGTCCGCATGATCAGGCGCATAGTTCAGGTCGTAGGTGAAAAAGGTGTCTATGTGTTAACTATCCATGCATTCTAGAACAGTCCAGTTCTGTCGGACAGGTAGAGCAGCCGGACAGTCCACTAGAACATCGACAAAACCTATGTGATGGGTTTTCTTGGTGTTCTTCGGGCTTGTTCTTAGAGTTTTTTTGGTGTTGTTTCCTAGGTGTGTTTAGTGATTATCTAAGGGTGTCTAGGTGACGTGTTGGTGTTATGTAGCCTAGGTTTTACCCTTGCATGGTGATCTTTGAACTAGGATTTGAGATTTGGTAAAACATGATTAAAAGGGAATAATACATGGAAAAGGAGTTTGATGAACTTAATCATGATGAGTTGGCCACCTTGTGTCATCAAGCTCAATCTTGTGATCTAGACCTTCTTGCATCCAAGTGAGGGAGGAGAATTTGAGAAGGATTGAGATTTCCTTGCATGAAACATACATGCTTATTAGAGAGAAATTCAAGATAGCGATGAGATGAGAGGTAAGGGAATGAGTAGAGCTTACACTTGAGATGGATTTGGCACTAACAACCTTCATCTTCCATCACATGCAAGATGAAACCAAAGATCAAAGTTGGAATTTGCAATTTAAGAAAGAAAATGGAGGGATTTCTTGAGCTCACTGTTATGATAGAGAGGGAGAGGAGGAGGATGAACTTCAGCTTCTTCTTTTGTTGATATCGGCCTTGCCCTTGGCTTGAATCCCTTCTCCTATATATTCTTCTTTCTTCATTTCTTGTTTCTTATCTTTCTCACTCTAGTTCTTGGTCTTAACTTTCTTGAGAGCTAGGAGGGGGAGGGATGAGAGTGGGAGAGAGATGAGAGGAGGGGACTGGATCTAGTGACTTTGAGGTGTTAGGTCGAGCTAACATGTGGGGCCATGGGGAGAGAAAAGGAGGATAGATCATTCAAGTGCATGTTTGCAGCATAAGTGCTCTAGCGGTCGGTCCTGCAGAGTAGGTGGACAATCCAATAGAACCTTGTTTACTCCGCCGTGTTGACTGGACTAGGGTTTGAGTTGATCTCTGGAACAGTCCGGGGGCACTTCTCAGCAATCTGAGTGAACACCAAGAGACCTGAATTTTGTGATTAAGATGGGGTAATCAACCTTGGGGGTTGAGCATTACTCTTAAGAGTTTGTAGATGCCATTTGAGCTTTTATTAGAGAGAACCTTTCGGGCGATATCTCCAGGGTTTTGGCTTTGGTTAATCGATTGGATTGACTTAAGTTGACTTGGGTTTGACCTGGGTCTTTGTCATCAAAAATTATTGGATGACATCCACGTGGTTGACGAGGATATTAATTGCGGGAGAGGAACAAAAGAGAGATGCCATGGGGCATGATCAACATGAGGCTCGTAATCCAGGAGGAATACGGTTGATTGACGGGGTTTCACTTCATGGACCAAGGAAGTAATGGATAGGAGTTAGAGCCTCCAAGACGGTTTTTTGAAAAGATTAAGGGCATGTTTGGTTGGTGACTAGAGATCGCCACGCCAAACATGTGGCGCTGCGATTCTTTAGGCCATCATTTGCTTCATGGCCACATGTTAGGCAGCTGCACTTCCTCATGCGTCACTGTGGTTGTTTTTCTCCACTTTGCTCGTCAAAAGTTGGACGCTCGTTTTGCTCGCCACAAATTTGGCACCGCTAGAAATACAGTGTGGCAGGTTAACAGCACAAACCAAATACGCCTAAATTTCTAACGACCGTCGAGTCGTGAGAGTAACAACCAAACCTGATGCGATGGTAGTGTTGTTGCTATGTATGGGACAGACCATAGGTCACCTGTCACGTGACGTCATGCCACTCATAGTGATATTACATATGTGCTCCTCTTGTAGGCACACTCTACCTAGCCAAAGTTGCTGTGGTTCATCCGGCACACACACTCTGCAAAAAAAAAAAATACACATACATATATCATAGTGATACATATATCTTACACTCTGTAAGCACTTGGGAAAGATTGAGATTGAGCTGACGGATCTCAAGATTGACGTGATATATGATACACCAGCTAGTATAGGAGGATCAAGGGCGGCGAACTGAACCGAGCGAAAGTAGACGGATCAAGGGCGGCGAACGAACTGAACCGAGCGAAAGGGAACGAGAATTAGCTGCCTGATCTATAGTACGGTGTTGGATTGCGCTGCGATCGACAGCGCATCGGCAGCGCGGCTCCTCTGCTCTCCAGCCTTTTTTTCGCTTTAGCAACTGGTTCAGTTGAGTTTCAATCAGGTCCATGCCGTATCTGCTCCTAAAGCAAAATGCATTCAGCGGCAGCGGCAGCGGTGTGTGGGGCGTGTCCGATTCCGGTCCCTGCTTCCTCTTGCTTTTCTGCTGCTGCTGCATGCACCTGTCGCTTTTTTTTTATTTCATTATTCATCAAAATAAAGCAACCAGCAAGGTGCTTCCACAGTCTGAATCTGTGGAGTTAGAGAAACATTATTTATTATCCGTCCCTCTGTACGTCCTAGTTTGCCATTCATCTTTCCCTCAAACAAAAAGGAAAACACCCGTCCCAGTTCCATCTTGCTTGTTTAGCTATTTGTGTCATTGTGCGTGTGTGTATATATTTTATATATAAATATACCGGCTGTGGACGGATTATGGAGGGCATCTTGTTGTGACGGGGTGACGAATGTCCGTCTCTCACCACCCGTTCCGTTCACAACAAAGCTAGGCAGCAGCAGCATAGCGAGAGGGAATTAGGGAAACGGTGGTGGGTTTTTGTCCGCTAGCCGGTGCGTCCCCGCACGAGAATCATTCGGGCGGCCTCCTCGCCTGCTGGGTGCTGGCTGCTGCTCCCACTCCCACTCCCACTCCCACTCCCACTCCCAGTCATACACCTAACTCCTGGCTAGGGTACGTGAGGTCAGGCCCGGCCCGGCCCTCGCGCGCATCACAGGCAGCAGACAACGCGCTGGCACACTCCCTCCCTCTCTTTGTGCTACAAACTGCTATATATACCACGCTACGCTAGCTATAGCTTAGGCGCTCACAATATAATATCATCTGCTGCTATCCTCTCTATATATCCCTCACTCTCCCAATGAATTGAATGAAAAATGATTAGTTGCCATACTTGCTCCGCCTATTAATAGCTACCGTGCGTCTTTGGTGCCTTTTAACTGACTTCCTGGGGGCGTTTCTGTGTTTTACCTGGCACAAAGTAAACACCCATCCATCCATCCTTATCGTCTCCCGGTCCCGTCGTCGGCCGTGCCGGTGCCGGTGCCGGTGCCGGAACCGAGCGGTGCGTGCCTGCATTGCAATTCCAGCGGCGGCAGCATGCAGCTCCTCTTGCCGGCCGCATCATCCTCACCTTTCTTCCCTCCTCGCGTCGTCCTCAAAGGTACGAGCTCCACCGCGCCGGGGTCAGCCGGCGGGCCGGTTCCATGTCTATCGATCTCTATCTTTGCCTGTGTCATCATATATATATTTTGTCATGGCTGCGATCCAATCCAAACAAGAACCTCTGTTTCAACAAAGTTCAGCTTTGCATAGTCCTCTCCTCGGTTGCTATACAAACATTCTCTTGGCTGGGTTTAAATAAAAAAAAAATTGTACGTATCTGGGTTTGGTTCCTCGTTGTCTTAGGTTTAGGCCGATGGGCAATCGGACAAAGAAACAAACATAAGCAACAGATACCTGCGCTGCTGCTGCCCAATCAATAATATCTCCTGTAGCTAGTCTCCTGCAGTGCTAGGGGTTGCTTTGTGCCTTTCTTTGTCTGTCCGGCCTGATGAGTTCCTGCTCGGCTGCTCCTGTTCCTGTAGTACGACCGTCCGGCCTGCGGCTTCCTCACCATTGCTTTAATTTGCTTTTTCTGCTTTCACTTGCTCGTCAATCAGGTCCATGCCGTATCCGTATCCATGGCAAAGCAGGTGCTGGTGCTGGTGCTGGTGCTGGAGGTGCGGGCGCGACGGGGCCCCGCGGCAACCTCAGGCTCGGCGGGTTCGCCGGGTGGTGGAGACCGCAGCAGCATCAGCAGGCCCCGTCCCCGGCGACGACAACGCAGCAGCCCGACAACGTATCCAGTGCTAAAGGTATAGTTGCATGGTCATTTGACTCTCATCATCATCCCAGTCAGTCACACAGATATATAGATGCTCTCGATCTCTTCTGTTTTTTTTGGGTTCTAGCATTATACGTACGTGTTGATTTGATGAACGAAACACTCTCAGTCACAGATGCTGTGCTGCGCTGCGCCCGTCGTAGCCTTGCTCTCTTTCTCTGTCATGTTGCACCCGCACTTGTCGCTTTCCTCTTACTATATCTCCTACTGCTGCTTTTCCTAAAGCCCAGAACAAAAAGTTTTGTGCTTTTCCTAATTTCGCTTTACTTATTAATCAGCCCGTTCTGTTTATATGACCCTATTATTAGCTTCTGTGTGCTAGGACTACTTATATATACTACTACTCCTTCCATTCCAAATTATAAGTCATTTGTGTTTTCACCGATAAAATTTAGGAAACTATATACATAAAGGATCGGAGTGCCATTCCCCCAACAAAATCTAGCTAATTCATTATTGTCTTTCTCGTTGGCCGTCCATCGTCTCCTACTTTGAGTAATATATAATAATGGGATGAGTATTTTTTTTTTGAAACGAATCAGGTAGGAGAGCTGCCGATTATATTAAAAAGAAGATACCCAGACTGGGTAGTACCACGAGACTACAACACAACAAAAAACTACAACAACCCAACTGAAGCGACCGAAACAACTAAAACAAACACCGTTACACACCAAAGATCCAAACCTCTATATACTCCTCCGCAGTAGTCAGCCAAGTGACACGTACGCATCACACGGACAATAGGCGTTGTAAAAATACCAAAGTCGCACTTGCGCCATCGTTCATGACCCCTGACGAAGAGGCAGAGAGGCCTCTACCACAAAGTCCCAAAAGGCAAACTGCAAAATAGTTTCGTTCCCTCAAATTTACCACACGCTTGTTCTACATATGAGCAGTTAATATTCCAAAAAATCTAATAATAGCTACTCCCCTTTGTCCAAAAAAAGGCTATCACTTAGGATTATACTCATGTCAAACTTTTTTAAGTTAGACTAGACCTATAGAAAAAATATTAGCATCATTTATATCTCCAAATAAGTTTATTATAAAAATATATTTAAGGATTAATCTAAAGCACCATAAGTATTAATGATTCCTTCTGTACTTGGTTAAAGTTAAAAACATTTGACTTCTTGGAAAACAAGAGCGACACTCTTTGTGGGACAGAAAGAGTACATACCAGGTTTACTACTATTTATGGTAACATGAATTCCTGGTATTCTGCACTGTATCGATACTGCAAAGATTTAATTTTTTTATTAAGTTCACAAGGTTCACATTTCATTATTTATTTATTCATTTGAAAAAAAATCTGCTAGTTTATTTATTAGCTAGAGAGCGCTCTCTATTTCATTCCTAAAAGTTAGGAATAAAGATTTTGGTGAAAAACTATCCTACAACAGCTTATCTAAATGGTTATCTAAATATAGCCATCTTCTATTCTGGATTTTTCGCTAGTCCAAAATGGAAGACGAGAACTGCTCTTTAGACTGCTCACGAGATATAGAAAAATTATTGGAGAGTGAAAAGATATAGAAAACGATTTTTATGCTCTCGAAATTATGATTTAGAGAGTGAGGATTTAAAGAGACTCTCGGAGAAGCTTTAAGGCGCTAACCATGAAAGGAACTTTAACCCATTCACGGCGATCGTTCGATGCATGTGTGGGTGATGGAACGTCGATCGCTATCAACCGTACTGCTCAACAGTAGTTGACTGCGAAATTAAGATTCTTGTTGTGTGATTGATTCTATGGTAACTCTTCACATTGTCCTCTTTGTTTCTTGAGCCCAAAACCTTAGTGGACTTTCCTCAATCACAAAGGTATCTCCATGTGTGGATGCAGCATGCTAAGGGATCCTGTCCTCTTTAATTGTACCCTGCTGTTCTTTTTAGCCAAGTAGCCAGTGGACCAACTTGGTGATTGATGAACACAAAGATCAAATATCGCGATCAGGAATATCGTCGTAGATATGGAATTTACAACCAACTGTCCGAAACAAATGATTAGACTGGACCGCAGAGGTATCTTTAGTTTTTGCCTAGATCATGCATGTACTCGCGCTCACAGCAGAGAATCTGATGGGTATATAACACTAACTGCTGAGGAAAGAACTTTTGTAAGGAAAATTTTAGAGGTTGGCCCGGAACGTAAATAAGAAAAGCTAAATCTAATTGATTTTGGTTTCTTATATCAGGCCAACTTAACTTCTGATCATTATTGGATTCCTGTCTAGCTTACTGTACTTATATGGGGCCGGGAGAAAAGAATGCAAAATGGGTAATGGAGTGCTGAATGTTCTGATGCTCTAATGCTATACTATAGTTGGTAGTGGGCATTGGACGGCACTACTCTGCTCAGGCCAGGTTCTTGATCCTTTGATGCATGTCTCATGCTGAACACTTACTAGAGATGTATATGTGGGTACCCAACATCAACAGTAGCTCAATCTGATCACTCACATCATTTTCTTCAGTTTTCTTGCTTTGAAATTAAATCCAGTTTAGTTCATTTCCATGAGTTTCAGTTTCAGTTCAGCCCAATGGCTTAGAGTAATCAAAACTTGCATCCCGGCAGAAACTAACTACTTGTAATGTACAGAAATGTTTCAGTGTTGGTGTTGGGTTTGAAGCAAATAAACTAACTGAAAGTTGTCAGCACCTGCAGTGTTCCAGACCACCCGTGTCCAAACCGAGACTGAAACTGCGAAATGGCCAGGGAAACCACAAGATCTTGATGACTACCAAGTGATCCCTGAGGTGGTACATACCGTACGTCTTCTTTTCACAGATGTTTCTTTCTTTCTTTCTTTCTGGACGACATTTGTTTTGTGGACAGGGACGACAGATGGTATAATCAATCCCATAATTATAAGTTTAGTTTGTTGCTGAAATTAAATTTGCATTTATATAGCAGGCTGATGAGACAGAGCTGCAGCCACTTATCGATCAAGTGAGGGCGATGCTAAGATCAATGAACGACGGGGACATCAGCATCTCGGCGTACGACACGGCGTGGGTGGCGCTGGTGCCGAAGCTGGACGGCGGTGGCTTCCAGCCCCAGTTCCCGGCCACCGTGCGTTGGATCGTCGACCACCAGCTGCCTGACGGCTCCTGGGGCGACTCGGCCTTGTTCTCTGCCTATGACCGAATGATCAACACCCTCGCCTGCGTCGTTGCACTTACGAAATGGTCTCTCGAGCCTGAAAAATGCAAGGCAGGGCTCTCGTTTCTCCACGAGAATATGTGGAGGCTAGCAGAGGAAGAGCAGGAGTCGATGCCCATCGGCTTCGAGATCGCGTTCCCTTCTCTCATTCAGACAGCTAGGAACCTGGGCATTGACTTCCCGTATGATCACCCGGCTTTGCAGAGCATATACTCCAACAGGGAAATCAAGCTGAAGAGGATCTCAAAGGACATGATGCATAGAGTCCCTACGTCCATTCTGCATAGCCTTGAAGGAATGCCTGATCTGGACTGGGCAAGGCTTCTGAATCTCCAATCAAGTGATGGATCATTCTTGTATTCTCCTTCGTCTACTGCATATGCACTTATGCAAACTGGTGACAAGAAGTGCTTCGAATATATCGATAGGATTGTCAAGAAATTCGATGGAGGAGGTAAGTCGATCGTCCATGACATAGCATATATGTAGGTGAATGCTCACAATATTAGATACTCATCTCAAATTGTTTGTCGTCACCATTTCAGTCCCCAATGTTTATCCAGTCGATCTTTTTGAGCACATCTGGGTCGTTGATCGGTTAGAGCGACTCGGGATCTCCCGCTACTTCCAACGAGAGATTAAGCAATGCATGGACTATGTGAACAGGTTTTTGCTTCTGCGATCGATCCCCTCTTTTCAGCACTATTGTTTTACCATGTAAAGGCAGATATATCATGCATGGCAACACTAAGCTTCAGTGACAGTGGGCACCAAACCTTATGGTGAATTTCTTTGGCTTGTCTTCTCATTTTGTAGGCACTGGACTGAAGATGGGATTTGCTGGGCTAGGAACTCTACTGTAAAAGATGTGGATGACACAGCTATGACTTTCCGACTACTAAGGCTACATGGATACAATGTCTCCCCAAGTATAGAGACCATTCCCCTGTTTAATTTAAATATCTCATTGACTTATGTTTAGCTGAGTGCAAACACAAATTAAATAGGCTAATCATAAAATTAGTAGCAAGTTTCTGGTGAACCAACCGATGCTCAGCTAACTAGTGAAGTGATATATATATATATATATATATATATATATATATATATATATATATATATATATATATATAGTGCACAGCATGATATAAATGTCAAAAGTATTTCACGCAATCCCCTCTGCTCTTCAAACTTCATTAAGCTGTTACATCTCAGACATAAGTCGATCGTGTTCTGTAGGTGTGTTTAAGAATTTTGAGAAAGATGGAGAGTTCTTTTGTTTTGTGGGGCAATCAACTCAAGCCGTCACTGGGATGTACAACCTCAACAGAGCCTCTCAGATAGCTTTTCAAGGGGAGGATGTATTGCACCGTGCTAGGATTTTCTCATATGAGTTTCTCAGACAAAGAGAAGCCCAAGGCATGCTCCGTGACAAATGGATCATTGCGAAGGATCTAGCTGGCGAGGTAATCCAAACTATTCTACATTTGATGATTTTAGATCGATTAAAACATGAATAGAGGCGAAAATACTTTTCCATAAAGGTCATGATTGTGTCCTTTTATGCCGATATGCTATGTACAAAAATATTTTCCTAATAATATATGATAACACATATGTCTATGTTGATCGATAGGTACAATATACACTAGACTTCCCTTGGTATGCAAGCTTGCCTCGTGTCGAGGCAAGAACGTATCTAGATCAGTATGGCGGTAAAGATGATGTTTGGATTGGAAAGACCCTCTACAGGTGCACACTTATACCTCATAGCTAAAAAATTGTTCATAAACTATGCTGCATATTCATTAGTCAAAGTAAGAGAGATGCTTTACTTATATGTGTGGGCCATTTTTGGCAGGATGCCTCTTGTCAATAACGACACATATCTTGATTTGGCAATAATGGATTTCAACCGTTGCCAAGCTCTACATCAGCTTGAGTCTAATGAGCTTCAAATGTAAACACCATAATTTCATATTTCATTTCATGAATTTTATTTTGGAAGGTTAACTTTCATTTAATTTAAAATATTTTGGCACTATATTTAGGTGGTACATAGAGAATTGCCTTGACACTTTTGGAGTGCAACCACAAGATGTTTTAAGAGCTTATTTTTTAGCTGCGTCTTGCATTTATGAACCTAGTCGTGCTGCTGAGCGGCTTGCATGGGCTAGAACATTAATGATTGCCAATGCCATTTCTACACATCTTAATGACATTTCGGCAGACAAGAAGAGATTAGAATGTTTCGTGCACTGTCTCTATGAAGAAAGTGATGTATCATGGTGAGTACTACACCTTACCTTAGTTGAGCATTGTATCCATTTATGAATCATCATGTGGCACAGGTCATGTACCAAGCATCATTGATGTTTAATTTCTTAACAATATGAAAAATAGAAAATAATTTGAGTAATAGAGCAAATAACTTCCATAATTATAGGAATATCAATAATGATCATTTTAGCTATTAGGAATTATGTACTTACATAATATTTGGTATACTCATCACATGATATATATAGCAATTAATTGTACCATTGATCTATGATATTCAGAATGTGCATTGTTCTTTTGATTCTAAATTTTAATCCTCACACTTATCATTTATTGCATGAGTCAATACTATGTGCATTACTTACATATATTACAAATGAGGTAAAGATGGCATCATATTCTTTGTTGTAAGCCCTGTTATGGTCAATAGTGGTAGCCATTTAACCTTCCTTTTTGTCAAGTCATGTGGATTGATTGTGCTATACTTCGGTGGCGAATATGGCATGCCACTTAAATTTTGATGTATTATGAATGCTTCATAAGTTATGACCTCCATGAAAAGTTGCATAAGTTTATTGTTGATATATACTCTAGATGCTTTTGTGTGGATGATGCAATTTTTAATTTGCATTGCATTTTACAGTGACCTATTTAATTGTAGGTGTTCCATTTTTAACATTTATCTTCCATTTTTACTATGGCACCTATTACGTACTATGTAAAATTGAGAGAAGATTATTTCTCTAACATAAGCAGTAAATTTAGGCTTAAAAGAAATCCTAATGATGCTATTCTCGAGAGGGCACTTCGAAGATTTATTAACTTATTGGCACAAGAAGCATTGCCAATTCATGAAGGACAAAGGTTCATACAAAGTCTACTGAGTCTTGCAGTAAGTTATCCTCACTTGTGCTTAATTAGATTATACCGACATCTTCTCAACAATCATTTTAATATCTTTGTCTACACTTCTAGTGGACCGAATGGATGCTGCAAAAGGCAAATAAGGAAGAAAACAAATATCACAAATCCAGTGGTATAGAACCACAATACATGGTTCACGACAGGCAAACATATTTGCTTTTAGTCCAGGTTATTGAGATTTGTGCTGGACGAATTGGTGAGGCTGTATCAGTGATAAACAACAAGGATAGTGATTGGTTTATTCAACTCACATGCAATACTTGTGATGGTCTTAACCACAAGGTGTTACTTTCCCAGGTATACCCTTCATCACAATAAAATTATTTTTACTCTTTGTGCATAGCTAGATATATGTATGATACAATGATTGTTCCCTTAGGGGAAAATAATAATTTCAGAATCAAACCATTGCATATATAACTATTTGTTAGCACCTCAATTCTCCACTAAAGACTAGAATTTGTTCCTAGTTCCTTGCAACCTCAAGTTAGGGGCCAGGTCAACTGTTTGTGTAGATTTTCTATACCTTTCGATGGCTTAGTGAGTTTAGAACATAAGTTTATGGCTATGTTTAACTTCAATATTTCGTGAGTTCAGATCTTCAAAATTTCTACACTAGCAAATTACCTCAACCTTATTCAATGCAATATCGTACAAACAAACTTTATTTCCTGCAATTTAGATGCTAACTAAATTTCCATATATTGTTCTAGTTTCATCATCGCTATTCCTCACATGTATAAGTAATCCTTCCTTAAGTCATATTTCCATCTAAGGACAAGTGAGTAAGTTTATATTTGAAATGCTATTGAATATATTTTTAATTACTTTTGAATCTCTATATGGTACATGACCAAAGTAATATCAAATCTTTCTTTTTTGTAATATATATTTAAGAAAAGTATAGATACTTTCTTTCTCGACAATTATAGCAATCATGAATTCTAATATGTTCCATGACCACTAATTTAGAATAAGTAAAATTTTTGATAATATGTACATATAAATCATGTTTTCCATAAAATCTTTTTAGTTTTGCATGCCAACATGTCGAACTAATCATACCATGCACAGGATGCCGAGAAGAATGAAGCAACAATAAATTGCATTGACAAGGAAATCGAGTTGAATATGCAAGAACTTGCTCAATCTCTGCTCCTGAGGTCTGATGAGAAAACCACCAATAAGAAGACCAAGCAAACCTTATGGAATGTCCTAAGAAGTTCATACTATGCTAGTCATTGCCCACAACATATCATTGATACACATGTTTCCAAGGTTATCTTCGAGCCCGTTTAAAAATGTTAAAGTGGTAGATCATTAGGTTTAGGTGTAAATGTGTACATAAAGAAAGTATCATAAGGAGTAATGGTAGTGGAAGCATGCAATTGTAAGTTTATTTGTAGTCGCTTAGGATGGAAATTAGTGTAGTTGTAATATCAAGAATGATCTATATGAGTAATCATATTGTGGATAGAGGTGTTCATTTGAATAACAGTTTTGTATGGTAAGTGTTATCTAAGTTCATTCCTAGAATGTAACAACCTAGAAAATCCACACACCAAAAATCACAACTATAATTTTTTTTCTCAAGAATCCCATGTGATGATGAGTGTCATGTATAGAAACCCAACCTAAGAGATGCATTAAGTCTAACCCAACCCCAGTCAACATATAAGCATGGCATGTCATTAGATAACTGTGTTTATTAATTTCTAACAAATATAATGTTGCATACATTGTTAATTCAAAATGTGATTTGGATTTCCATTTGAGTTATGATTTGCTAAACAACTCCAATAAAATAATAAACCATAAAGTTATTATTAAACAAAATTCTCTAAACTCTAATGAATAAGTTACCTCAGTTTTGAATTCAAATTCTAAACCAAATTTGAATCCAAACAATGGAAAAGAAATGTAAAACAGAAAAAGGAAAAGAAGAAGTGGGCCTTGCAGCCGGCCGCTCGGCCCAAGCTAGCCAGCCCAGCTCGCGGCCCAGCGCGTTGCTCACCCGCGCGCCCTTCTTCTTCGCCCGCAGCCGCTGCCCGCTGGACCCCGCGTGTCAGCCGCACACCCGTCTACAGTGTCGTCTTCCTCACCCACGCCTCAACCGCCTACGTGACCGGCGCCCAACAGTGGTGGCAGGGCGGGCCAGGGGTCACGCCCGGGGCATGGCCCTGTCTCCTTGGCGCCGCACCCACGCAACCCTTGCGTCGCGCCTATGCCACCGCACGCGAGCCATTGGATGCCACTGATCACGCCTCCACCTCTCGATCGCCGTCCGCCATTGGAGCTCGGAGCTCGGCTATAAAGCCACGGCCCTCGGTTGCCCTAGCGCTCTCCTGTGCCCCGCCACCACCTTGTGGCCATCCACAGCACACCCTAGCCAAGAGAGAATAGGGAGGAGAGGAAGAAGGGGGGGGAAAGGAAATACCGAAGCCGCTACCGGGAGGAAGACCGGGAGATCACCAGAGCCGGAGCGGACGACACTGCACGGCATGGCTTCCGGAGCTACACGGCCTCGACTCTTCACTGCACTGCTATCCTCTCGCCCTCAACACCTACGGTGAGCCTTCCGGCCTCTCCCTGCTCGCCGCCGGACCTTACCGTGTCGGCCAAGGCGCTCCACATCGTGAGCGCGTAGGCCAAGGCCATCTCCGGCCACTGGGTACACACGCATGGCACACTCACGCGCACACCGCGACCACCTCCGAGCCCTTGGACGTTGTAGACCCCTCCAAGCCCCATGGACGCCAAGGCAGAGCACTCACTTATCGCGCTCGCAATGCCGCCGTCGTGGCGTGGCCACCACCGGCCAGAGCACCAGACCACCGACCAGAGCACCAGACCACCGGCCAGAGCACCTGACCACCGGCCAGAGCACCACCACCACCGGCCCGAGCACCAGACCACCATGGCTAGGTCCGCTGGGAGCACCTGGCGTCTCCTTGTCTCGCCCATCCTGTTCGCTGGAGCCATGGGTAACTCACGCGCACGCTGTGACCGCCCCGCTGGAGCCCCGTAGTGCACCCGTGCGCCTCGCCGTCGTCACCATGTCGCCGTGGCCGCCAGGAAAACCCCTACCGGCCTCATGAGAATCCGAGCCCTGCCTTGAGCACTGGACGCCCTCGCCATGCTCCCATGGAACCGCTGAAGCCTTTACCCGCCCAGCCGAGACACTAGGAAGCCTACACAGGCGACTTCACCGTCGGCGGGCACCGCTGAACCGCCAACCACCGTGGCCAGGGTCCTAGGGAGTCCTAGCTGTCGCCCTGACCCCACCATCGTAGTCGCCGAAACCTGACGGTGCTTTTCCCCACGCCAATTGGGCGCTAGCACCGCTATGGAAGCTCGCCGATGAGTACGTCGCCGGCAAGAGCGCGCAGTGGAAGAAACAGAGGAGGAGGGGCGAGTTGAGCAGCGCAGCCTTGCACCCGGTGCACAAGAGCCTAGCCGAGGGAAATGACGGTGGACTTGGTCCACCTGGGACCCTGCCTTAGGTCCATGGACCAGCACCACCTAGTCCACCGTGAGCCACGCCCACGCCCACGCCCGCGAGCTGTGGACGAAGCCCAGTAGAGGCCCACGGCCGTGATGTGGCAACGCCACAGCTTGCCACGTGTCTGGCCCGGCCCGGCCCAGACCGGCCCAACCCGAAGCCCACCGGAGCTTGTTTGAGACCCAATCCGTGTTGACCGTTAACTGGTCACCGTTGACCGTTGACCTAGCCCCACATGTCAGTGGCACAGACACTCTGGACCCACACGTCAGATGGTGACATCATGCTGACATCATGCTGACGTCAGCTGGACCCCACCTATCAGCTCGGAACCGTGATGCTGACGTCAGCAAGCCACGTGGACCAACCCCAGCATGACACGTGTCAGCCCAGGATTAATTCAGCCTTTTTCATTTTCAGAAATGGATTAAATCTTCGGAAATTCATAACTAATTCATATGACCTCAGAAAAATACGAAACCAGGACCAAAATTCATCTAAAATCGAGCTCTACATAATGGACCCATGCTTGAGTGCATTTGGTTCTTTTGAATTTTTATTGCTTCTTTGTGCTATTCTATAGACGTCGCTAACGCGACTATAATGCGGTCGTTTGCAGACTCGGAGGAGAACCGGACGAACGAGGATCGTGAGTACCATGAGGAGTACGGAGATGACTACACTGAAGGTGCCACATCCCACCCAATCTCATAGCACCTATTACGCATGGCTAATATAGAAATGCTAGTGCTTACTTTATTGTCATGATCACATTATGGTAGGACTTGCATGGTAGTATGTTTTCTTGATGGCCTTTACCTTGACGCAACCTTACCCCTGCTCACCCTGCTGATAGGCTAGTCACACGGTTGCTATTACATTTCATCGCTTATTAACTCTACTCTACTTGCACTACATTGATGCGTGGGGGAAACTGGTGTTATCTGGACCATGGGGAGAGTGCTGCGTGTGTGACTTGGGTGCGTGGAGGGTGAGGGTTGTGTCGACCAAGTTAGAGTATACGACGAGCCTGGGGCAAGTCTTGCCATGGGGTGCTACCTGGGCACCCCTGGAATGGATACCTGTGGTGGGTAAATGGTATATGAGGTGGCCCTGGGTGTGATCCTGTGATGGGAGGAGCCTAGGGTGGAGGTGCTGTGGTGGCACGGTAAATAGAAACCCTGATGGAGACATTCTGGCTTGGTCATCCCTAAGGACTTACTAGTACTTAGATTCACCGGGAAGCCTTACGTACCACTCGCCCTATATGGTGCGGGACGGCCGGACTACTTGGTAGGATATTGCCACTACTGCTAGGTTGGTAGCGGACAGTGTAAGGAGGTACGGGGCGTGGAGGATTTCCCCCACACCCTTCCGAGACTTCATGGAGACCTTGTGGACCCGGCTCATGACTCACAGTTTCAGCCACCTCAGACTAGACTTGGGGTGTACCAGGGCTGAATGGTAGAGTAGCATTATCCTAGGCTAGCAAGCGGCCAAAATCAGCCCAGTTGACGATGGTCAGCAAGGAAGGCGGATCTTGTGGTTATGTAAAACCTCTGCAGAGTGTATGGTTGATCGATCGATACATATGCCGACTTGTCGGCTATGGACCTTTCCTGGGTTTCGCTTAAACTAGATAGAGAGATGAGTCCTTCTCTTCTCCCCCTGGAATGAGAGTTTGGACGTAGCCAGGGCTACGGGCCTTGAGACAGTGCCGAGAGGGAGTTGGCCTGTCGACTGAACGATGGTATGGGTGTGGTATGGTGATGGTGTAGAGATGGTGGTATATCAATCCCGGGATCGAAACCTGGCTCAGGAATGGGAAATGGAGTGGAATGTGTGAGAACGGTGTTAAAACTTGACCAACTATTATTATGTACTTGATATGCTAATACATAGGAAACCCCAGCCTTATAGGTTCCTTTTGATTATATCCAACTTGCATCCAATTTCCACAAAGCAATGCTCATAGGGTTGGGAGTGGCCAGTACAAATCGTACTGATAAATTTTGGCACACAGGTTCTGCTGAGGAGTATAGCTCAAGGAGTTTGACGGTTGAGGGGTTCGTGCCTATGCTCGAGTTTGACGATCTTATCTTCAAGCTGTTCTGAATGAATGCTACTTTTGATTCCGCCAATGTGGTGATGTAATAATTTATGTATTCCGCACTATTTGTACTATGATATTATCGTTGTATGGATGTGATATTCGACTGGAATTTGGGTAATATGATGTACAACGGTCTTATTACACTTCGACTCTGTGGATTTCCCTTCGTGGAAATCAGGGTTGTTTCATAGAACCATTTGAATTTTTTTGGAGAACTTCTATGATATCTTAGCATCAAAATACATTTCATAGTTATTAAAGAACTAATAAGAAAGACATGTTAAAATAACAAATTTATGAAATATTGAGAATAAATGCTTGGATTTTCTAGTATTTCAAGATATTTGAACCTTTAAACTAGAAATTTTTTGTAGAAATCATTAAAATTTCTAATTTTTTTCTCTACAAAACCATGTCCATAGTTAGAGAGAACCACAAGCCATATGCTTCCTGGTTGTGACAGCAGTAATCTCCATCTTTAAATCACATGAAGCCCTTATCACATCGCCTAAGTCATAGCCCACTCACTTCAATGCACTACCCTTTGTAGCATCCCATTCCTAAGTGTAAATCACATTTATTAAACATTTGTAATGATAATATCTTCTTATATCCATTTTTGTTTATTGATTTTTCTCACACATGTATAAGCTTGTGCCATTTCATTATAAAAAGAAACAAAGT